TAATCATGAACCATGAAAGTGGAGAACTTGTCTATTTTTACCACAATTGTATTCCACCTAGCATAATATCACACTACTGTAGACATCCATTTTTTGAATGAGTGAGAAAATAATAAACACTAAAAACTCATTATGTGCCAATCACTAAACATCTTATAAAAATCATCTTCTTTAATCCTTGTAAGAGCCCTATTAAGTAGGCATTATTATTGTTGTTATTGTTATCCTCTGTTTACTGAGAAGAAAGCTACAGCATTCGGAAGTTACACTTCCTTCCCAAGATCAAACAATGTAGAAGCAGTAAAAAAGGGTGGACCCAGATTACTTGGGTAACTTGTATACCACTATGCTAATCTATCTTTATTGTTTTTAAAGACACTCTCTAGCTATCTGGCTAAAGCTTACCTAGGTTTAATACAAGCTATCTATTTTTTAAATTAAGGTCTCACTGATATAAAATCTTATGAAGGTTTTACATGAGCAACATTGTGGTTACAACATTCACTCATATTATCAACTCCCCCCACCCCAGCCTATTACAGTCATTGTCCATCAGCATAGTAAGATGCTATAGAGTCATTACTTGTCTTCTCTGTGCTATATTGCCTTCCCTGTGACCCTGCTACAATATGTGTGCTAATCATAATACCCTTCAATCCCCTTCTCCCTCTCTCCCCACCTGCCTTCCCCAACTCCTTCCCTGTGGTAACCACTAGTCCCTTCTTGGAGTGTGTGAATCTGCTGCTGTTTTAATACAAGCTATCTTTAATTTAAAAATATATTACACAGAAAGATGGTGGCATGAGAGGTGGGACAGAAACCTCCTCTCAAAACCACATATAATATGAAAATATAGCAAATACAACTAATTCTGAAAGAGTAACAGGAAAGAAGGCTGCAACAGAGTGCCTACATCTGGGGAAAAGAGCAAACCTCAAGGAAAACGGTAAAGTACCAAAGCCATGATCTGGCGAGACCCAAGTACTTCCCCCACCCCAGCTCACTGGCAGGGGAAGAGAAACAAAGTAGGGAAGGGGTGGAGGCCTAGGACTGCTAAAGACCCATCCCCGGAGATCTGCTCTGGAAGCACAAACCTACATTACATGGTGCTCTGGAGATTAGTGAGGTTGGAAAGGTAAGACAGGTAGAATACTTGGAGAGACTTGAGATTCCAGCTGCTGTGGAGAACAGGTACCCACAACTGGCTGTCGCAGGACAAAAGAAAGGCAGGTACTCTGAGAGACTTCCCAAAAGCGAGAGGGCTGCTAAAGGGACAAGGATTTCATAGAGCTTGCAGGTCAGGAGAAAGGACAGGTGGACAAAATTGTCCTGGCACACACAGACCAGCAGGTTGGGAACTTTCAGGAGCTCCATCCCCCTTGCTGGCAATGTAGCTCTGATATGCAGCCTGCTGCTCCTTCCTACTGGCCAGAACCAGGTTGCAAACCTACTGCCCTTGGCCACTGTGCTAGGCCAGCTAGAGGGTGGCTCCGCCTAAGGCAGCTACAAGGCATAGCAAAGAGGCTCCTCCCTGCACACTTGGCCCCCTGGCCCTGGCAGTGGAGGCAGGCACTACAGTTGGGAAGCAGGAAAGAGCTCTTTCTTCCCAGCAGGCACCAGCATCGCTTGCCTGTGACCCCCGCCATCGCTCCAGGGGATGGGAAGGTCCAGAGAGTAGAGTTCTGGGCACCAGAGGGGGCCGCCTACACCAAGTTATTTTTATAAATATGAAACATCAAAAACACATGGTACAAACCAAAATCCCACAAACACCAGAAAGAGGGCCAAGAGAAATTGGATTCATCAATTTTCCTGAAAAAGATTTCAAAATAAAAATCATAAACATGCTCATGGAGCTACAGAAAAGATATTCAAGACCTCAGGGAAGAATTTAAGAAAGAGATAGACACTCATGAGAGAATTTAAAGAAAACACCAGTAATGGAAATCTACCCCATGCTCATGGATAGGAAGAATTAATATTGCCAAAATGGACATCCTGCCCAATGCAGATACAATGCAATCCCTATCAAAATGCCAACAGTATTATTCAATTAACTAGAATAAATAGTTCTAAAATTCATATGGAAACACAAAAGACCCCAAATAGTCAAAGCAATCCTGAGAAGGAAGAATAAAGCAGGGGGGATTATTACACTCCCCGACTTCAAGCTCTACTACAAAGCCACAGTAATCAAGATAATTTGGTACTGGCACAAGAACAGACCCATAGACCAAAGGAACAGCCTGGTGAGTCCAGATATAAACTCAAGCATATATGGCCAATTAATGTATGATAAAGGATCCATGAATATGCAATGAGGAAATGACAGCCTTTTCAACAGTTGGTGTTGGCAAACCTGGACAGCTGCATGCGAAGTAAACTTGAAATGGATCAAAGACCTGAATGTAGGTCACATAACCATAAAACTGAAGAAAACAGAGACAAAAATTTATTGAATATAAAAGCATAAGTAGTTTTTTCCTGGACACATCTTATTGGGCAAGGGAAACAAAAGCAAAAATGAACAAGTGGGACTATATCAAATTAAAAAGCTTCTGTACAACAAAGGACACTATCAGCAGAACAAAAAGGCATCCCACAGTATGGGAGAATATATGCATAAGCAACTGATCTGATAAAGGGTTAACATCCAAAATATATAAAGATATCATATGCCTAAGCACCCAAAACACAAATAACCTGATTTAAAAATGGGGTGAGGACCTGAACAGATATTCTCCAAAGAAGAAATACAAATGGCCAACAAGCACATGAAAAGATGCTCCACATCACTAATCATCAGGGAAATGCAAATTAAAACCACAGCACAATGAGATATCACCTCACACCAGTTAGGATGACCAACACCCAAAAGACAAGAAATTACAAATGTTGGAAAGGATGAGGAGAAATGAGAATGAGAACCCTCCTCTACTGTTGATGGATTGGTTCAACCATTGTTGAAAGCAATATGGAGGTTCCTCCAAAGACTAAAAAAGATATACTATTCAGTCTAGTAATTCCACTTCAAAGGAATTTACCTGAAGAAAACAAAATCTCTGATTTGAAAAGACATATATGTACCCCTATGTTTATCACTGCACTACTTGCAATAGCCAAAATATAGAAGCAACATAACTGTCCATCAATACATGAATTGATATAGAAGAAGCAGTACACAATGGGATATTATTCAGCCATAAAAAGAAAAGAAATCTTGCCATATGGAACAACATGGATGGAGCTAGAGGGTATTATGCTCCGTGAAATAAGCCTGGCAGAGAAAGACAGATACCGTATGATTTCACTTATTTTTGGAGTACAAAAACAAAGCAAAACAGAAGGAACAAAATAGCAGTAGACTCACAGACACCAAGAAGGGACAAGTGAGGAGGGCTGGCGGGGAGAGTGAAGGGAATAAAGGAGCACAATAATTCACAACTCACCATATAAGTTGGTCATGGGGACAGTAATACAGGACTGAGAATATAGTCAATGATTCTGTAACATCTTACTACATTGATAGATAATAACCGCACTAGAAGGAATGAGGATTTAATAATATGGGTAACTGCTGAACCATTGTGTTGTATATTTGAAACTAACATAAGACTGTATATCAATGATACTTTAATAAAATAAAAAATCTTTAGAGCTCTTAAAAAAAAAGTTTGCCAACAACTAAACTAGGCTTCTAGACTAGAGTCTAGTTCAATGGAAATAACAGCAGCTACCATTAATTAAGCACTGGGTTCTTTGAAGAAAACTTTCAAAACAGGTCTTGCAACCCCTGTTTTACTTATTAAAAGGAGGAAGGAAGAGACATCAAGAGAGGAGAGGGGAGAAGGAGAGAAGGAAGTCAGCCTGAGGCTCAAGTCGTGAATAATGTGACCATGATAGCACAGCAACTAAGTGGAGGGACTGAGATTCAGATCATAACTGCTGACCATGCTCTTTGATTCTAAGGCCAAAAACTTCTGTGGTTCCCAGTGTTTCCTTTTTCCTCAACATTAGGTTGGGATTTCATGCTATTGTTTATTCATGTCCTACTTTCTCTTCCACAAAATGCCAGTGCTCATTTAAAACCTAAAGGAGGTCCCTGGTGAAATCTTACACATTCTTAGAAGACAAGCTCAAGTAATGGCCACAAAACTTCAGTCATGTGCTTGTGACACTTAACATGTTCTTCCCTGAGGCTTAATGATTGCAAACACCAAGTCTACCTTTACATTCTGTAGAAAACCTAGCACAATGTCTTCTACATGATGAGCACTTAATAAATACTCATCTAATGAATAAGTGAATCTAGACAAAAACATCAGGACTTTTCTAATCTGGACTTTTTTAAGTAAAATATTTATGATTTATTTTTTAATAATTCAACAGATGAATATCCAGAATGTTCTAAATAATAGGATGTCTTCTTTAGTATTGATTTTTAGTATTTTTAGCCTACTTTTCTTATAAAAATCAGTTTTAAAAGGAACGAAAAATTCATAAATATTAAATACATTTAAAGTTTTCTAACAGTATCTTAAATAATGAATTTAATATTATAATTACTTATATTACATTATCATTCTGCTGGGATAGAAAACTCTTTATAATGCCCAAATGAACAGAAAACTAGCAATTACTAGGAATTAAGAATAAATCCAATATCAATGATAAAATGTTATTTATTACAAGAAAACACTGAGACCACATTGGTATAAAATATTTAATGATGTTTCCAACAATTAGTTATTTCCAAGTTCATTCTGACAGAGTGCTGAATGCTCAATGTCATTAGAATGTCAGTAAAAATAATATAATTTTAATGTAAATTTTGTTTGTAAAAACGTACATAATTAAAAATAGATTGAGTGCAGTTTGATATGTCTAAGGTTCTCTATACAGCATAAATAAAGCTTAGTATAAAATGAGAGTAGAAATTGTTTTTTAAAAACTAACATTTAGATTTTAAAGAATTAAATATATTCAAGTCAGATACCTACCTGCATCACCTTCTGCTGAATTTCTTCTAACTGTGTACGCTTACTACGTTGCCTACAAACTTCCTGGTAGCGGGTATATTGCTCTCGCAGTGAATCTAGTAATTTCATAACCTGTGGCTGTGCAAGCAGTTCATCGTCCATAGGAGACCAGGAGACCCCTCCATCTGAACCATTAAATCGACGCTGCTGTAATTCAGATAACAACTCGTGCCCTTTATGAATGAAAGATACTTATGATTAATATACATAAATAATATAGTTCTCAATCTTCTCAATTCTAGTCTCTTATTTTTAGAAACTATCTATTTCTATTAGTCTACCTACTAACCTACTAGGTCATAAGAAATGAAATGCAATTTTTAAGTTTATATTGAAATGAATAGAAAAACTGCATTCATGCATACACACACGCACATACACATACTATACAGTATATATGCTTAGTTATCTATATATGCTATGCTATATAGCAAATACATAGTATATATGGTATATATATATATACTTATTTTTTCTTTATGTATCTATCTATCACATTCCTGTTATTGGTGTATTCATCACTCAAGATACTGTGCCAACCAATCCTCTTTCCCTGTAGAGTACAATTATACTCCGAAATTACTGATGATACTAATCAATCCTATAACACAGTATAGGATTTCGGTATTAATCCATACCCTTAATGATAGCACCTAAAAGAAAAGTTGATGGTGTAGCAAATACATGATTAAAGGAAAACTTTTCAGTCTTTATTATTGGTATAAAATATTTAAATAACCTCTATTTACAGAATCTCTATAACATATAACTGATTCACAAATGGCCACACTAATGTGAGAATTGCATCCAATGTTACTCAGATATAGCAAACTCCAAGAAATAAAAGTGCAGAATGTGAAACATCTAAAACTGTAAGTATATTATCTTAAAAGTGAATGAATTAAAAATTGTTTTTCTATGATAATACTATACCCAATTATTACTTAGGGGACAAAAACATACGTAAACATTTAAATTATCTTCTCTTCATCTTTGTTCAGGAAAATATCCTAAATGTAAATTGCTTTCAACATACAGAAACACAATTTTTAATATGATTTTAAAGCATTTCCAGTTTCTAAGACATATCCAAGATGGTTCTAAACCTCTCCATTTTATACTTTTTCTATTCCTACTTTAAAAGGAGCATATAAAAAAGGACTTAATGACTTATGAGGTTATTTTAAAATACAAATTTAAAAAGCTTCTTAATTCAATGGCTAAATTAGCATTCAAAATGTTAAATATAAATATGGAAATAAATTTTAAACCTCCAGTGATTTTTTACTGATAGTATTGTACCTTCTAACATGTAGTAATTTAGAGATCACAATTATTTATTTGTTCACTAAGGAAATAAGATGTATATCATACCAAAAAGCTTAGGACAACTGAATCAATACAACAAAAATGCTCAAAATTTCTCTTTACTCTTCATTACATTTTATAATTAGAAGAACACCTATTTTAAAGGGTTAGGCAGTCTATCTCTATGTACATACACATATTCTTTATATTACATATTCATAAAAGCCATCAAGATGAGAACACAATTATTTTTTCTGCTTTGACTACTGTTACCCTTAATGCTTTCCCTGTGGATACCATTTCCATTAAAGAAATAGCACCACAGAAGGATTTCAAAGATCATACTTCGAAACCAAACTGATTTGGTTCAAGTCTCACCTCTAGCATTACCAGTTACTAGCATAACCTGCATAAGTTGCTGAACCTTTTTATGCTTCAATTTCTCCATCTTAAAACTGGGATAATAACAGTACCTATTTCACTGGGTTGTAGGTAAGGATAAATGTGTTAACATATATGAAGTGCTTAGAACAATGTCTGATACACAGGATGATCAGTATTATGAACTATTATTAGAAAAATACATTAGAAATAAAATTAAGGTATTTTCACTTAAAAGAATTCCAATGTATTCTCCTAGACTCTGTGAACCACTATTAAATACATCTCCGCTGGAGTATACATACCACGAAGCACTCAACACATAGTATGTGCAAGGTCATTGCAAGGTGCTACGTGTTTTTACACAGATGAGTGTAAAACAATATAGCTAGTGGCTTTGGAGTCAGACCTGTTTTTAGTGCTATAGTGATAGAGCTTACTAGGTACTTGATCTTGATCAAGTTTTTTCTATGTCTAAGCTTTGACTTCCTCAAGTAAAAAGTAGAGAAAATAACAGTAATTATCTCAAAGAGTTAAGAGAATGAAACATGAAAACACATAAAAATAAAATGCAAGAACATAATGAGCATTCAATAACTCTCACAGCAACCCAATAAACTAGAAATTTTTATCTGCATTTCACAGAGAAGAATCCAAATATTTCAAGGGAGAGATAATCACTGTTTATTATTTCCAAATAATATTTTAGATTATATTAACACACTGTTATGTTAAATCAAAAAGCAGTCTGAAAAATCTCCCCTAAAGTTTCTATCACATAATACATACTCAATGTTTATTTCATGAACCAATCAATATATGGTTGATTTACTGGATTATGATTATTACTGATAAATATGTTTTTTCATCTTACCTGTCTGAAGAACTGTTTCAGGATCAACTGATGGAAGAAAGTTTAAATCCACAGACCTGGTAAGCAACAAAAGAGTTATTTTTAAAAATTTTATTTCTACCCAACTTAAGAAAATCATACACACACACACACACACACACACACACACACACACACACACACACTATATATATATATATACACATACATAAAATAGAAGCTTACAAATATGAAAATTTGAAGCTGTAAATGTTCCCAGTCATTTTCAGAGAGGTAAACACAGTAAACAGCATTAACCTATGATCATGAACTCATTTGCTGCAGGAACCCTCATAGAGTATCTTTCCTAAGGAGCATGACTTAAAGAAACATCAAACTTACTTTGCAGGACTTATTTAGAAAGCAAGAGGTTTGGCTAGTATTTGTTAAGTAATATGTGTGACACATTCAAATCCAAAGCCATAGCATAAAAGTTTGTGATACCTATACATGCACACTCACACATTTTTATATATATGTAAAATTTTTACATTGTGTATTTTTATATGGTATCTATAGGATAATAATATTCTTATATGTCTGTTGTGACTTTAACTAGATTTACATTCAAACTACTTGTTTTCACATTTTTATTTTAGTCAAGATTTGGTGTTAAACTATGAACTCACATCCCTCTCATCTTAGTTAACTGGTATATGACTGTATTTGGATTCATGAAATAACAAGATGCACTTTATCAAGGTTCTCCTGAATTTTTAATGTCTGATTCAAAAGAGATAGACAAGGATAACTGTTGATTCTTTCAGATTTCCTAATGAAAAATTACTGTTCTAGTGACCGATCTATTATTGAAAAACCAGAAGGAGTTAATTTGCCTCCTAAAATGATTTTTTACCTGGAGAGAGGGACTTGGCCTAATAACAGAAAAATAAAAACTATTAAGATTATAAAGTTCAATGGAAATCTGTTAAAATGATAAATCTAGATGACTGTGTTTAGATAATACAACTGAACAATTACATCATCCAGTGTCATAAAATACTAAATTCCCCAAGTTGAACTCATAAATATCACGTTTTACAAGGACACAGGAATTCAACAAGGCAGGCATTTAAGAGCTAAAGTATTTAAATAAGGTTACAATAAATTTATTTCAAGCCACAATCTTTTCTATAATCTTTATAAGCAAAGCAGAAATCTAAAAAGGTAGAAAATTGTTTCATTTTGAAAACTTGTTCTTGCAACTATCTATTTTACAGTGTCAGAAAAAGGTAAATATATTACTATTCATCAAAGGAATGTCTTTCGCAAAGAAACTTGTTCAAATCAATACATTTCACATGAAAAGCAAATTCTCACAAATTAAAAAGGGAATTTAACTTTTGTATGTCAATTTTGACTGAATGGAGAAGAGTTTAACTCCAGCTTGCATTAATAATAGAGGTATCTTTTATCAATCACAGCTTTGCAAGAGTACAACTGCACAATACTAGCCACCTACCTTTCTTTTTCTTGATTTCCTTTATCACTTCCATTGTTAATCAAAGCAAGTTCATCTAATAATGATGTAGATTCCTTTGTAAACTTCTCAAAAACCTACAATATGAGATTTTACTAACATATTAAGAATAATCTTAAAAGTTAATGTGAACATAAGGATTTTCAGTTAAGATCAATAGAATTGGTCAGGCAGGATTCCCTTTCCCTCTCTGGATGTCATTTAGTACAATTCAACCATCAGAGCACAATAGCATATGAGAGAAGACATAATCACTTCCTAAAGCAATTAATAATTTCAATCTATAAAGAATTTTTAAAATATAAATACATTTAAGGAATTATTTTTATTCCTCAGATAAATTTACTTTTATTCCTATGTTTCCTTGAGAAACATCCATGTAATGTTATTTATACCAGTTTTAACTCTCTAATTTCAGCTACAGAACATTTCTATATGTTATTCTATCACCAATCCATACTGGTTGCATGTAATAGTTAAAGAGTTTTATATACAAGCATATGTAAAAATAAATTAGTTATAACTTTAGTATGATTTTCTTAAAATATTTCTAAAGATGAATTCAGGCAAGTATGTTTATAAAAAAAAGTGGACACTCATTTATCTGATATTACTGTTCACATATTATTGTTCATACGGTGGAAATAGAACAGATTATTCATTCTGAAATAACAAAAAGTTCATTACTCTTCAAAATAATTAGCATATAATCTAAACTAAGCTAATTTCAAGTTTGTTCTTTTTGTCCCCAGCAATTTCATTAAACAATGCTGAGTTATACAAAGTATCAGATTCCAGATGTCTGGCCTGACAAAGATATATTTTCAGAAAAGAAAACCTTAACCTGTTAAATAGCTCTTTCAACTCACACTGGTGTTCAAATATCCTCTCTGAAATGGTATATCAACTAGATTACCTCTCAGGAAATTATGGCACTCTGTTATTCTACTTAAAGGATTTACAACTTTGACTAGTAATACTACTACTAAAGACAACAATAGTAGCTAACACTCATGAGTCAGACTCCAGAATATTTGCTTTCAAGCACTATGCTATCATGTGGTATGCACTACATTTCTTCATTTTTGTAAAAAGGAAAACAATCTACATTCTAGTAGACTAACATGACACAGTCATCAAAATATGTCTTATTTATATGGGTAACATTTTATCTCTTTGTAATATACCAACCAGCCTCTTATTTAACCAGTCCATGTGATCATAGGTTAGACTGCCACCAAAATCTTCTGTTAACTGGCATGGTTCTATATAACGAGTCAATTTGTTAGCAGACACTAAAATAACCTACAAAGGTAAAAAGAGAAAAGAAACATTTAGTAAGCCACTGTTAAATGTCCATGAAAGTAATGAGGAGGTTAAATTAAGTTAAAATACACAATGCTGTCCCCAACATAAATGTGTATTATCATTTAATTACAGAACAGCATTTAAAAAACAATTCAATAAATTATAGATATATACTAAGAAATAAGTTATCATAGACACTTAGAACACCACATTTTAAAAAACAATTGAGCTGATATTAGCAGCTCAGTTGAAACATTTTAAAATTTTATCAGTATTAATCATTTCTTGGTAATCAAACCCAGTTTTGATTTGGGTAAAACAGTGTATTTAGCAATGAATTTTCATATGGCCTTAAAATTAGCAAGGTACACTAAATTAATAACCACAAATGAATAAGAAAGCTGACAATAAAAAAACTATGCACTTTTTAAAGTTTCTCTAACATTCCGGTATTAACAAAACATGCCCTCAAGTAGTAGAGTAAAACTCAGGATAATGTATACTAATATTTAACTTGAAAATCAGAACTAAAAAGTACAGAGGTCAAGAGAACTCATACACTTGAAATTTATATATTTATATGCAAAAATGATATATGGAAATTTTAATTTACCAAAAATAACAAATAAAAAAAGACTCAATAAGAAAATAGTGTGTACATTTGTAAAGATCACCAGTCCCACCCTAACAACAATAAGTATCAGATCATCTACAAAACTGTAACATTTGTGGAACTGAGGTCACAGAGAAACCACTAGTCTGAAAATAAAGAAAAGGTTGGCACCACAGAAAGAATGGTAGAAGGGGTAACTACAAACTGACATGAGCAAATTTGGAAGGATGAAGAAACTTCTTTATCTTGAATGTGGTAAAGAATCTATGGCTTTATGTGTCAAATCTCATAAAACTGAAGGCTAACTAACAGGCATGAATTTGCTGTATGTAAATTATACCTCAATAAGTCTAACTTAAGATATAAAGAAGACTTGTAGAAGAAGTACCAGAGACATAAAAAAAAGAAATATTCAGAAACATACCCTACATGCAAAACTAGGTACATCCATACTGCATATGAAGTTATAATGTACACAATAAATAAGGGGAAATTTCCAAGACTGAAAAGTTAAATGTGGTGGGGAGGAATCATCTTAAGAAGATACGAAAAATATGGCATGAAAAGTTCATGAAACTATCAGAGAAACATCACAATTAGTTTGTAACAAATTGATGTTGATAACAATACAGTAAATGCAAATTAAGAAGCTTAAATGTTTTATTGGAAAGGCTGATAAATAATGAGCTAAATGATCTACCAGAAGTTGGAGGCCAGGATGTGGAAAGAGAATAGAATAAATCCAAATAAAATGGAAGGAGATGAGAAACTAAGAAATTAATCAAGACAAAAGTTCCTTGGAAAGAATAAAATGAATCAACAAACTTCTGGGAAAATAAAGCAAGAAGAAAAGAAAAGAATGAAATAGTAATAGTAAGAATGAAAAGAACATGGCTACATTGACAGCAGGGTTAAAAGATAATATAAGCACAGGTAACCTTATGTCAGTAACTATGCAAATTAAAAGAAATGGACAAGTCCTTATTAAAGAAAGTGATTCACTGAAATTGACATTAGCCCAAAGAAAACAAATCCCTGATTTAAAAAGATATATGCACCCCTAAGTTTACTGCTGCATTATTTACAACAGACAAAATATGGAAGCAAAGTGTCCATCCATGGATGAATGGATAAATAAGTTGTGGTACATATACACAATGAAATATTATTCAGCCATTAAAAAAAATCCCACCATTTGCAAAAACATGGATGGACCTAAAGGGTATTATGCTAAGTGAAATAAGCCATACGGAGAAGATAAATACCATGATTTCACCTATTTGTGAGATCTAAACAGAAAACAAAATGAAAAAAACAATAGCAGACTCAGATACACTGAGAAGTGACCTATGGCTACCAGAGGGGAAGGGTCGGGAAGAGGAATAAAGAGGCACAAAAATCTCAATCATAATATAAATTGGTCATGGGGATAGTAGCACAGCATGGAGAATATAGCCAATGATTAGGTAACATTTCCTATGTTGACAGATAGTAACAGCACTAATGCTGAGGCTTTAGTAATATGGTAACTATTGAACCACTGTGTTGTATACTTAAAACCAATATAATACTGTGTATCAAGTATACTTCCATTAAAAAAAATGCAGAATACCTATAACCAATGAGGTTAATTAATAAATTCTTTCTAGTTCTAGTCATCATATTATTGCTAGTTAGTATTGCTATTCTGTGATCCCTTGATGAGGAAGAAAGCAAATTATTAATATGGGATATTCTAATTCTGCCATCCCTGCTGTCCTTGAGAAAAAAATGGAATTCTCAAGAAGAAAGTTGTGAGGGAAAAAGCTGAATTATGGTCTTCAATCTGATTCGGAAGTATGAGTTTAAACTCATGATGTATTTCATCTTAAATAAAAATATATAAACATGAATTTCTTAGTTCTGTCCATTGAAAGGTTTAAAAAATAATGAATACACATAATGTAGAGCAGGGGGGCCTGGGGAAGGCAATATAACACAGAGAAGACAAGTAGTGGCTCTACAGCATCCTACTAAGCTGATGGACAGTGACTGTAATGGGGTATGTGGTGGGGAGCTGATAATGGAGGGAATCTAGTAACCACAATGTTGCTCATGTAAGTGTATATTAATGATACCAAAAACAAACAAACAAATAAATAGAAATAATGAATAATTCTTTAGAAATGTATACCCTCAGCATTTAGATTGTTATCTCTAATTACCATTTCCTACTAAAGGGAATCAAGGCTCCTTGGAAAAATTGCCAGCAATACAATGAACTTGCAACTTCTTCTCATCCAGATACCAAGAAAGCTATCAAGGACTACTGAGGTTGTGCCAAAAGGCTTCCACTAGCCAAAGATGTAACAATTTGCATGTAAGAATAAGTGCCATATTTGGAAACATTAAATATATTTAAGCCAATGAGCTCATATTTATACAAAAAATATGATCACTACTCGACTACTCTGTGGAATAAATTTACTTTATTGAAAAACCAGTAAATAAAGGGAAATAGGCACTAATCTCACCTTCCATATGTAAACTGCATCACTGAGTAAACAAATAGTAAAAGGGGGTTAAGTTTCTCCTTACAGAGGTATTCTACCTAGTAAGTGAAGAAAGAACAATGGAACTAGAACATCTTTATAAATCTAAGGGACCTAGGCACTGAACAGCAATGGCTGCTAACATCACAAAAGAGACAACTATTATGAACTTGATGATGAAGGAACAAATCACCATCAATGAACTGCCCTGGAAAAAGAAAATCAAATCTGAATTTAACCAACTGTATAAATACAAAGATCCAGAAAGGTAGAATATGTTGAACTACACCACAGGGAAGCTCACTGCAGTGAAAAATTCTACAGGATAAACAACCTGGTCTGGTCAAAAAAATATATACATATGTAAGAAAAGAGAAAGAAATTAAGCTAAAAAGTGTCATTTAATAGACTAATAGAGAATCTCACAACCAATAAAAAGAGCATTACTTATTCTTCTCAATAGTAAGAGAATTACAAATTCTTTTCAAGAAAGCATGAAATATTTAAGAACTTGTCTGCGTATTAGGCCATAAAAAAAGCCTTGGTACATTTTAAATGAACTAACTGATAACATTCTATCACCAGAATGAAATTAAGTTAGAAATCAGAAAGTAATCAAATCAGAAATTACTAAGAAGATTTTAAAACCATATCCACTTAGAAAGGCATCCCAATCACATTATGAGGACTTTATTTGGATCCTGATTCAAATGAATAAATAAATCTGTGTGCATAATTTACATATAAATTCATGAATATATTTTAGAATATAGCATTCATATATAACATTAATATATATCACTAAATCTTTTCATAATATTCATCAAAAAATTACAGACTTGAAACTAACTGCATCTTTGATAATTAGGGAATTGTCTAAGGCATGATTATGGTATTGGGTATTGGGTTGTATTTTTTTTAAAGAGTCTTTATGTTTTACAGATTCATAGTAAAAAATTTACAGATAAATTCAAAAGACTTCAATTTCCTTCACTATAATATGCCCAAATGTTCCTTTGGGGAAGTGGCTAGGGGTAAGGATAGGATAAAATTGACCATGGGCTGATGGTTGTTGGAACTGGGTATACAGATACATGGAGTTAATTGTAATGTTAATTTTTTATGTGTTCATAATTTTTTTTAAAATAATTAATTTATTCTTATTTTTCTGAAGAACATTATGTTTATTACGTTCTCCCCTACCCCAAGTCCCCTCGCCACAAACCCCATTACAGTCACTGTCCATCAGCATAGTAAGATGTTGTAGAATCACTACTTGTCTTCTCTGTTGCAAAGCCC